GGGCAGGAACACTCTGCCGGCTGCTCGCGGTGGGAAAGCGGTGGAAGAAGCCGGGGGAAGCCCTGCCTGCCGTCACACAAGTCCCTTGGCTTCAGGGGGGGACTTTGGGACAATGGCTTTTGAGGAGGAGGCTTGGGGCGAGGAGCGAAGGGACCGATTCCCGTCGTGTTCGAAACCAGGGCTTTGCGCGGGCTCGGAAAATAGGTGCTGCCAGCTGTGCCACCACCGAACCGGGACGGCCGGGCTCCGGCGAGCCACTGCGGTCAAAAGAGGTGTTGAGTGATGACTTCCTCAAGGCAGCCAGACTGACATCTCCATCCCTGGCAGTTTTGTTTGTGTTTCAGGTTGACGGAGGAGGCACGAGATGCTGCCTGCGTGCTTTTTCTTTTCCTTCAGCTCTTCCTTTCAAGCCGTGTGCTGATTTTTTTGTGTCGCTTTCCCATGAAACTCTCTGATGACCGAGGCAGCGTCCCCCTGAAACCTGCTGCCTTGCAGTTTCATTCATGCTGCTTAAAACTGTTTCTCTCAGCACTGGCTTGGGAGCGATAAACAGCTGGGACAAAAGCTCAGCCCTCCTCCTTTCCTGCGCTTAGCCCCAGCCTCGCCTGGGCTCGGACGTGACTCTCAGCATCCATTTCTCCAGCTACTTCCCCCCATCCCAAATTCCACGTGATCCCTTTGCTGTTTGGCTTCGTGGGATCGAGGAGGTGGGAGATGCCGTGGTGCTGCTTTGCATCCGGATGGTCTGGCTCTGAGCGCGGTGCTTTGGTCAGGATTTGGCTCCGCAGATGTCAAGTCCCTCTGCTGTCGCTTGGGCTGCGAGGTCCATCATCCCACTGGCCTGTCCCATCCCACACCTTTGTCCTGGGAGCCTGCAGCAAGAGTAAAGGCACATGTATGGATTGCAGCAAAAAACTCAAATTAAAAAAAAAAACAAGCAGTGCTAAAACCTCCCTGCTTTTAGACTTTAAGCAGCCCCGTCTCCACGCCGCGCCTGGGTTCGAGAGCCTGCGTGCGGCAGCTTCGCACCCCGGGGCTCCGGATCTGACACCCGCCTGCAGCGAGCCGGGCGGTGGGGTTCGCACCTCCGCGGCCCCTGCCCGCCCGGCGAGCGGGAACGCCGACTCCTTCGTATCTTCGAAAGCGCGGGGCGGCAGGAAATGGTTTTTTTTCTTCCCCGACCGCAGCGAGGCCGAGTGCTGGGAGAGGGTGGTGGCTGCTGGAGGGTGACAAATCGGTGGTGGCAAGTGAGAACGCGGAGGTGCTCATACAAGTGGGCTTTCCCTGCTTGGGGAGAATTAAAAATCCTTGAATCATAGAATCACGGAATGGTTTGGGTTGGAAGGGACCTCAAAGATCATCCAGTTCCAACCCCCCTGCCATGGGCAGGGACACCCTTCACTACACCAGGTTGCTCAAAGCCTCATCCAACCTGGTCTTGAACACTGCCAGGGATGGGGCAGCCACAGCTTCTCTAGGCAACCTGTGCCAGTGCCCTGAGAAGCGAATCTTCTTTCTGGAAGGGTTGCGTGGTGATGGCAAGACTAGTTGTGGGTTATAGAGAGATCACAAGAGTGTGGGATAACTGTCCTACTCTTGAGAAGCTGGTCCCTGGTGAGCTCAGCGAGCTTGGGGGGTCACTGGTGCCGCAGCCCCCGGCACTGCCTGGCTCCCTGTCCTCAGCCTGGCGACTCACAACCTCCCCTTGAGTGACGAGCGAGTACTTTTTCGGTGGCAAAGGGAGGTGGTTCCTAGTTCTCGGGCTCCAAACCGCTACCGTTAGCAAAAGAACTGCTGATCCACCTCTTTTGTGACCTGTTGTGTTATGGAAAGCCGGCGTTGGGGTTTATCCTGCCCACCCCGAGCTCGTAGCGTGTCCTGTTCAAAGCCACCCCATTGTACCAGTGGCAGGGCCGGGGGATCTCCTGGGCTCTCCGAGGGCTCAGTGCTGGATCTCAAAGCGGAGATGGTTTGAGCTTTTTGGATTCAGTCTCCTTTCTGCCAGCTCATCGAGGCTCCTGCTCCACTTCCCCTTGGGCATCGGGTGTTTTCGCCGCAAGCAGAGCCGGAGGAAGGGATGCAAAGGGATCACAGCAGTCCCAGCCTCTGCCCTTGTGGTTTTGCTTTCTGTCTGCATCAGTTTTTCTGCTTTTCCAGCCCTCCCAGCTCGGGAGATGGTAGAAAGCAGCTGAGCCTCCTCGGCCCATGATAAGGCTGGTGCTGAAGGACCCGGCACCGCTCAGCACAGACTCCTTGGCACCAGCCGTGCCGATAGCTCGGCAGTGCTTGCAATTAAAACTTGCAGCTGCAGTGTTCTTACCCTGGCCAGCACCCTCGGTGAATAGCTAAAAAATTGTTTCCAGGAGTAATTGATCTTAATTAGAAGTTTGAATTCCCCGGAGCTGCGCTGGTCAGGGTTTCTGGGCTTGTTGGGAGTCATGCAGTGGGTAAAGATGCTCAGAGCTGGCACGAAGCTGGGGGAGAAGTAACCTGATCAGGGCGGTCGTTCCCTGCTAGGTCTCACCTTGTTTGGGTGTTTGTTCCTGGGATGTCATGTTGTCCTTCAGATGGAGGCTGGGATTTATTGTGTACTGGAAATCCTGGCTTTGGCGTCGTACCTCACTTTTCCGACTCTCTGGGGAGAGAACAGAATTAAGGGGACAGACGCAGCAGGAAACCTTCAT